AAAATGTAGCCGTGTGCTTGACTAGGACAAGATTGGGAATATTTTTCCAAGAGGAGACTGTGTGCACAAGCAGGGCTATTCTACATTCTAAGTGACAAAATGAGGCACAAGATTAGAAACAGAAACATATGCCCCACTTCTGAACAGTGTCCAGCTGTTTGGCAGTTGTTCAAAGATTGCATGGCTTTGGGAACACTGGAAAGCAGTAGCCTTGGCAGAATGTTGGCTTCTTTTGTGAGGGACATTATTAGTGGAGCTAACGATGAGCCCATCTGAAGCTGCTTCATCAGTAGACGCCTTGACAACAAGTAGGCAAGGCTGCAAGGGACGGTGAGTTCATGTGCTAGCTATTCCAGATAAGCTAGTTCATGAGACAATCAGAGGTGGTTTTAGGGGGCTCCTTGAAAAGTTGAGAGCATAACAATAAAGGAAAAGCCTGGGGGAAATAAAACTTATATATGGAGAGAACTGGTCAAGAACAAAAGTTTGGCTTCCCTGACTTCAGTATCTGGAGGGCACCAAGAAACAGAAAAAGAGAAGTTGACTGGCCTAAAAAAGCAGGAGACCAGGCTAGGGTGGGACAGGGAAAGAGTGGTGATCCATGGTGTTAACATCTTAGAGAGACTAAGAAACATAAGAAATGAAGGAGCATGTGAAAACAATCACTACATCCTCCATGGCCTATGGTCGTAGGGTCATACATGTCATTTTCGGAACTTTTGAAATTAGTGTTCTTAAAACTCGCAGTGCACATTTCAGAATCATGCCTTAGGTTCCATTCCAATTGTACACGTGCTGACTGTAGCCAACATGCTGAAGAAGAACTGCCTGCCTTCAAACAATTCACCAGTGCTTGCTGAATAGCTCTGCTGCTTCCCTTTGATTTCAGGTCCCTCCTCTGTGTAGAGGCCAGTGGTCACTCTGCTTACTCCCAGGATATCTTTGCCTAGTTAGGAAGCTTGCATATACCCAAAGAATGTTTTTCAGTCACTTCCCTTCCATTAAAATCTATCCAACCTGTGTCCCATAGGTCATAGGCTTTTTTTTTTTTTAATTTTTAAGCCCATTAATTCACCATCTAAGGTGAATGAATTTGGAGTTACATATCACAGGTCTGTTCCTGAAAAGAAGTTCACAGCAGGAATAGAAAAGCAGGAAAGAAGGAGAGTTTAATTCCAAGGACAAATAATTTTTCTACTAAGAGTCAGTCTGATAAACTTATTTGAGCTGGTAAACATTGATGGCTGAAAAGGTCAAGGTGAGAATGATATCTACATTTAACCAGTGTTGTTTTTTTTTTAAGCTTTACTCCAAGGTAGGAAATAAACTGATAATGAGAACATTATAGTGAAGGGAATTTTTAGTTAAGGGTGACTTGCTCAGAATTTCTTAAATCAAAGTAGGTGGCTACCCTGATTTTTGTATAAGGCTAGTCTTTATCTGCTTATTTGTGAGTTCATACTTCTCTTCATTTCATTTCTTTGCTGTTTCTTCCTGCTTCTGTTGCTCATGGTAATGAACTCAGAGTAAATGCTTAATGTATGTGTGCTGCAATCACTTGAATTTGCTAAACTTTCTTATCAATTGTTCTTCTTATCAATTATTCTCTGTTCTCTGGCCTTTGTAAAGTCAAGATGGCAACCTTAACATCCTTCCCCTCAACTTACCTAACTTTAGACTGACTTCCTCCTAGGTCTTGGCCTTTGACCTCCTTTTTCTTAAAGCATTTACTTTAGAAAATTTTCCATTGTAAATTCTTTCTCTGCCCTTGAGATGTAAATCTTCTGATCTCTTGCCAATTGTACAATCCCAGAAATGTCTTTCTTAAGGTTCTGGGAGCTGGCCCTTTGAAATGTAATCACCAATGGCAATATCACCCTCTATCTCCCAGTCTCTGTGGGAAAGTGGAAGCCTAACTTTTTAATTGCAATAATTAGCAAACAGATGGCCCAATCACATTGACTAATCCCACCCCCCCCCCAAGTCCTCCAGTACTTTCCCATTAGCTCACCCCAGAGCTTCAAAACTCTCCTGTCTTTTGTTTCAGGGAAGTTGAGTTAATTCTCTCTCCCCTATTGCAATAGACTTCCCTGCCTGTTTAACTCTGTCCATTGAAATCTTTCTTTCACATTTGTAATTTTCTAAAGCAAAAAATCTCTCTCACTGGTGGTGTCTTTGCTGGTTTCTTTTTAAACTTCTAGATAATACTTAGCTGACCAGAAATACAAGTTAAGTCCTAGTCCTTTTTGCTCCCTGTCTAGAGAGCACAGATTTCTGCAAGAAGTTACTTTTTAAATCTTGATGTCATTTTTTTATGATAGAGATGGAATATCCATCTTCCTTCCTTCCTTCCTTCCTTCCTTCCTTCCTTCCTTCCTTCCTTCCTTCCTTCCTTCCTTCCTTCCTTCCCACCCAGGCTGGAGTGCAGTGAGATGCTCACAGTCACCCCAGCATCAACCTGCTGGGCTCAGGAGATCCTTCTGCTTCAGCCTTCCAAGTAGCCAGAACTACAGGCGTGCACTACATACCCGGCTAATTTTTTGATTTATTGTAGAGATGAGGCCTCGTCAAGTTGCCCAGGCTATTCCCAAACCTGTGGGCTCAGGCACTCCCCTCACCTCAGCCTCCCAAAGTGCTGGGATTACAGGCTTGTGCCATCACACCCAGCCTTTTATTTTTATTTTTTATTTTGAATCGGAGTTTCATTCTGAGTAAAGTGGCGCACTCATGGCCACCGCAGCCTCGACCTGCTGGGCTTCAGCCTTCCAAGTAGCTGGATCTACAGGCATGTACTACCACGCCCAGCTAATTTTTTTTTTTTAATTGTAGAGATGAGGTCTCGCCCTGTTGCCCAGCCTGGTCTCGAACCTGTGGGCTCAGGCAATGCTCTCACCTCAGTCTCTCAAAGAGCTGAGATTATAGGCATGAGCTACGGCGCCCGGTTTATTTTTCAACCAGTTAACACACTCTCAATGAGATCACCCTTTCTCAGTCTACCTACTAAAATCAAATCCTCCCTTTGAAATCAGCCAATTGTTTTATCTAGCAGTAGCCTAGTTATTGCGGATGTGTCCTACTTAATGCTGATCTATACATATAGCTCAAACAAATGAATTATTAAGATCAGACATGTTTAGCTGTTTTGCTGACATCTGAGTTGGCATACCCAGAGAAGAAAGATACATATTTGTTTGGTTTGCCTCTATATTCTGATCACTAGTCAGGAGAACTTATAAAACCATTTAACAAAGCTGCATAACATCACTGTGAAGTTCCTATGAAAAGATAAAGTTATAAGTTGGGAAATATATGCGCAATTTTCCTAAGTCTCTCTTGAAGAAAAATTTAGAGTTGTTCTGTTTCCATGGCTATAAAACTTAGATCAAGTTTTCTTTGAGTTGGGCAATTTTAATTCAATTAGACATTTGTAACATACATATTTGTCTGTGCCAAGCACTGGATACATAAAACATTGGCATACTTAAACTCAAATAAGTATTTGTAAAATTATTGCATAAGCATATTTTTATAATTCTTACAGCGTGTTGCCTTATAGTCTTTAGTGTGACAATGATAAATTTAAAGGTTTTCCCAGAATTTATTATTTCTTATGATAAATAATAACACTTTTTTTCTGTGTCTGAGAAGACATTGACCTATGATATACTCTTGCCTTTTTAAACATGAGAATCTGTGGTATGGGGGCAATCTGTGCTGTCCTGGATTTTGTTTAGATAAGCTGGTGGTCACCAAGGTCCTCATTCTATTAGATTTGTTATCTACAAAAAAGGTCACAATTCCAGGTGATTGGCCATGCCACAAGTGAAAGATACAGTACCAAACATGGCCTAGGAAACTAGAAGGTCTTGGCTGAAACTCTTACAAACACTTTAGGCATATCTTTCAAAGTAGAAAAAGCCTGGAACATGATTGAGATTCCCCACATCAATTTTAATTTTCTTTCCTCTTTGCTACTTCTAACACTGTCTTGGTGCCACCAGATTACTGGGAAATGATAAAGGAAAATATGACTTTTATTATCTGGGACTTTTCTTTATCTATTCTGACCCTCATTCTTGTCAATCACTTCCAATCTTCAGTAGAAACCTAATTTTGTCTACTGTCTTCTCAGGGAAAAAGGCTTACAACTCACTCCTGCTCATCCTCATTCCTTATGCAGAAAGGAGAGATAAAATGACAATAAGAAAATCATACTTTTTTCTTTATAACATTTAATCTGTGATATGTCTCCCTCCCATGGCCAAATGTCAAGTTCTTCTTCTTTATGAATAAGAGAAATGGTTTATAAAGGAGACATTACCAATCAATTGTTTATATAGCAACCATTACCTTACATAAACCAATAGTCTTTTAAAAAATAGATTCTTCACCGGAGTCAGTAAATATATTATTTTGGTGTCCCTAGTGTGGCAGGTGACCTTCAAGTTCCTTTTATCTTTTATTTTAGAAAAACTGGTTTGTAGGACAGATTCTTCCCCACTACATAAGGTCCAAATGACAGTGTATTGTTTGGTCCAGTAATCATGCCTAACTCCTCTATTCCATATAAATATATGATATCATTTTGCAGGGAAGACATTCAATGATTTATTTCACAAAGTTTATCTAGTGCCTACAATATGCCAGCACTGTGATAGTACAGTGGAATGAATGTAGACTTTAAAGTTTAGTGTATTATATTACTGTCAAAATAAATCATGTTTATCAAGTATATGTATGCGTGTATGACTATACAGATATAGGTCCATGAATTTTTCATTCATATGAAATATACACCCTAGTAAGAAATTATGATGAATCACTGACTAACTTAACTCTTATCTAGTAGGGTACAAAAATGGCCAATTATACACTTTATACAAGGAACTTAGGGTTTTAAAGAAAAGTACAAATGCTATAAAGACTAAGTGGCTATTTCTAGGCTTTCCATGAGTATCCCGTGGAAACTATAGCATGCTCCTTAAAAGTTCCATACTTACTCATCTCTGCAAACAGCTGTCTTCTTTCTGCCATGATATTTCCTCTTTTCCCACTATCTTCAATCATTCTATGAGACAAAATGGTTACAATGTACATTATCCTCACACTAATGAGGTAAATAGCCATTTCTCTGTAAACACACTTGCTGTATTTGTGCCACAAACATACAGAAAATCTATTTAAAAGGCATATTTTACAAGTACAGCTTTACTTTTACTAACCTAAATTGCTGCACATATTCTCCCATATGTGATATTGTGGTTGTCAGAAGATAAAATTTTTATTTTCTAACATAAAAATAACTACAGTAACAAATGACCTTGTGTTACAACTAAATACAACTATCTACCATCTGTTAGGTGATTCATTTCACATAGAGTTTCTCTTTCAATTTTGGGAGTATCTACAAAGACTAGGACCATATTATAGACGTCATTCAACAGATGATGAGACCAAAAATCTCATGGACTTGGTGAATGCAGAGCATAGATGTTTAGACTCCAAGACCAGTATGCTTTTGAAGCAGCCTAACTCCCCATAGAATGAATGGTTACAGTTCTTTGAATAAACATAGAAATTGACCTTCTTGGTCTTAAAACTTGAACCTTTTATTTGTCTTATCTGAGTTCCTGTCTCAGAAACCTATAGCATCAAAGAACTGAAACTCACCAGACCACTGTCTCCAGACAATTAGATGCCAGATTCCTCCCTAATTCCCATTTTCTACATTCCTACCCCAATATATAAACTCATGGTTTCGGTGAGACAGGGAGGTGGATTTGGGAATAAGTATCTTATTTTCTTTGGTTGATTATCACCCAAACAAAAAGATTTCTTTTTTGGCAATATTTGTTTCAGCAATTGGTTTCCTGTGCGGCAAGCAATAGGACCTTGACCGAACCCGTGGCATGTCGGTAACATTTCCACCCAATTCTGTTGCCAGTTGTTTCTTGTGCACCCAAAATTTTATTTAGAAACAAGTAATTTTCTGAATTTTCATTTCTAAGTTGAGCTATTGAAACTTGCAACCGTTTTCCTATACATAACAATTTCATGTAAGGTGGTTAGGTTCATATCTCTTTCCTTAACCATATTATTATCTGCAGTGGAACTATGTAAAAAATACTATTAAAATGCCAACAGTTAAAACAGAGAATAAAGAAGATACAAAAGTTATAATTTGGCTTGAGGAAAAAGAAAATGAGAAAGTTAATCAAAGTGTTGTTTAGTCATGTAGAGGTCTTTGAGCTAAACTTCAAGGGTTTTAGAGGCTGATGGATTTTATTTTTGATTACATCTAATTAAAGTTTTAGAAACTAAAGTTTCCTCCCTCACATACACTATATAGATGCACTCATGTCTATACCACTCTGACTTCCATTTTGATTCTCAGGCATAGTTAACAGAAGGCATAGCTGCAAGGAACTTTTTGCCTATCTTTAGATGGGCCCTGCTGTTTCTCAAATCTGGGTCTTTCTCTATGCCTTTTTTGACAGGGTTGCCCTCTCTTGATGCTGAGCTAGTTTGCAATCACTCTTCAGTTCTCTGTTTACGATTGGGGACCCCCCCACAAAAAAATCCAGAGTTATCTTTTGGAGGGCGGGCCCCTTGTAATATAAGTTTTCCTCCGTAGGTAAGTGTTCTAGGAACTCATTGGAATCAGTGTACCAGCTAGCATTGTAAGAAGCTGTGTTTGGCTTTAGTTAAATTTTTTTTTTTGAGATTGTGTCAGTGCATTTGCCCATTTTATGATAGGTGATTTACGAGCACACCTGCCTACATTGTGCTAAGTATTCAGCAGTTTTTGACCAAAAACAGCATGACCGCCATGCCCCACCATCCCAATTCACCTGATCTCACTCTGAGCGACTAATTTTTTTTTTTTCTTTTTCTGGATGAAAAAAATCCTCAAAGGGAAACATTTTGCGATGTGGAATAAGTGAAACAACAAATGGCAGAAGCACTCAAAGACATGAAAATTGACAAATTCAAATCAGTTTTGAACAGTGGAAAAAGCGACTTGATTGGTGTATTGCATCAAACGAAAAGTACTTTGAAGGTGACTTCAGTTTAAATATGTAAGAATAGATACACAAATTTTTATAAATAAATTCTGTTCCCTCCCCCCATAGGTGCATCTTCCTCTGGAAGTCTCTGTGATTGCCTGAGTTTGGTGCCTTTCCTGTGTACCTTGACAGCATGCATGTCTTTCTCCCAATTCTCAGCATTCATTCAACAAGTAGGATTCTCACCAAAAAAAAGTAAATAAATAAATAAAATAAATAAAATAAATATGTTAGCTTGATGTGATCTTTCTATAACATATATGAAGAACAAAACATCATCGTATATCCCATACATATACCCAATTATTATCTGTGAATTAAAAATAAATAATTGAAAACAAGACAAGTCTTTACTGAGTGCCTTTCATATTCTGGGAACCACAGTACACTCTGTGTGTACCATAGTGCCTGCCATCAAGGTGCTTACACTGTAGTGGTAAAGAAACAAAAGTATAAAAGCAATTAAGACACAATGAGATAGTTATAGCCATAACAGTGGAAAGAAAGATGTGCACATGAAAGAGGTTGATTCCTTGGGGATAAATTTAACAGAATTATCAGCAGAAGATTCCTCAAAAAGTAATGAGTTGTTTACAAAAGGATTCAATAGAGGATAAAAGAAAATTTAGTGGCAAAAACAATATTAGTCACATTGATTACATAGTCTCACCAGTTGCTTCAATGAGTAAAGAATTATTTGCCCATTGCCATGAAGGGAAAGAAGGATATGAAACAGGTTTGGTTTATAGAGTCAAAGGAGGAGTGTATAAACATTCACAATGAGTTAGGTAATATGACCAGGGTCTAGCCTAACTAACAATTAGAAAAGAGTAGAGTTAGTAAATTAATAAATTTATTAATTAATAAAGCTTCCTCCATTAAGTGACAGTTCACTGCTGAATACAGTTAAATATTTTCTTTTTACAAGAGTTTAGGCTGATCTTGGTGGCTCAGCCTGTAATCCCAGCACTTTGGGAGGCCAAGGCGAGTGGACTGCCTCAGCCTGTGGGTTCGAGACCAGCCTGTACAACTTGGCGAGACCTTATCTCTACAATAAATAAAAAATTAGCTGGGTGTGGTAGCATGTGCCTATAGTTCTGGCTACTTGGAAGGCTGAGGCGGAAGGATCGCTAGAGCCCAGCAGGTTGACGCTGGGGTGGCCATGAGCGTGCAGGCCACTGCACTCCAGCCTGGGAGAAGGAGTGAGACTCCAACTCAAAACAAAAAACAAGATTTTAAATATGCAGGTATAGCTGAGAAAAACGCCTCCTTCCTGATTCACATAGACCTCCCTCCTTTACTCCAGAGGGAGTGGGTGGATAACCTGACATTTACAAAATAGTCTGGATATAGATTCTCACTGTTATTACAAGGAATCAGAAGTAGAATTGAGGCAACAGGAGACAGGGGATAGAACCAGTGAATCTGTCTACATGCTAGAACAAGATGAAAAGAACCATTAAAAATAAATCATGAAGGATAGCAGGCTAGAGAACTGTGATTGATCGTGTCAGCAAGGTAAAGACTGGCAACTGAACTCAAAGCACTTGCTGCTTGTAATACTTTTTGGCACTATTGTGATAACTCTTTTCCTAGTTAACTTTTTCTCTGTCTCTCTGTGAGGTTTTTGAGGGCATTAACCTCAAAAATTTTCAATTTTTCACAGTGCCTACCAAAATCCAATCAACAAATGATATGGCCAGCTCATATTTATTGAATAAATGAATGAATGAGAAAAAAAAAAAAGAACAAGAGAGGAAAGAAAAATTAGAGCTAAATTTGCTTTCCATGAAATTAACTTTCATTTATATTTCCAAAATCTGACTCATAGAAAAGTGAAATTCAAATTGCACTAGTTTCAGAGATTAATTATATGAAATGAGAGAAACTAATTTACATTGCTTTATAATCCAGGACCATACATTTTAAAGCAAAATTGTGTCTCATAAAATAGAAGCTGAAAAAGATGCAAACTACATTGATGCCAACTTTTGGTCTATTCATCTTTTTTTTGGTTAATTAACTCATAAAAGAACCATCATTAGTTGCACAATAGATATTCATTCTCGCTTCTAAGTAAAATGTGTACCTTGTAAGAAACAGAAGGAAAAACTCAGTGGTGTGAAATAATAGAAGGCACAGAATATAATTATAAATATGAAAGAAAAACAACACATTTCTCATTTTACCCCCAGAGTTTCCTGGGAAGTAGCACAGTTAGGTAAAATTGAGAATATTCACTTATCATCCATTGATCATAGTCATAATAGTAAAAAGGGAGACACACTAGTGTATATCTTATACTGACTCAATAGAGGAACTCTTGGGCAAAGTAAGCTCTTGAATCAAATAGGCAGGGAGCACCATGGTGGGCTCACAGGTTTCCAATTAAATTCTGATCAACGGAATTTAAGATAGACCATGCTTGACTACATTCTTGTTGCCTTCAAAAGAAAGAAGAGAGCACAACCTTCAGTAGGGAAAACACTCAGTGCTTTTATGGAGAACAGTTTTGCTTCTGAAATAACGGAAATTATCAAGGAGCTCTGATTTTCCTGAATTTTGGTCTAACAACAGCTGTCCAAAGTCACACGGAGGAGGCAAAAGGGAAAATAACCCATCTGTGATGATACTAATGTGTGTAACAAGGCACATGACTCACCGACAGGCCTGATTTGGTCAGTTTCTGTTGCTCCTTCATGTAGATAAGGTGCTGACAACCTTAGAATTTATAAGATTACATAAAAGAGGTAACAGTGATAATTGATATGCCCCATCTGATACTTCCTTTACTAGAGTTCAGTCCCACACATTTTACAAAACATGTGTTATTTTTAGTTATGAGAATCCATTCATTCATTTATTTAAGAAATATTTATACGGTAGCTATAATTTGTTAGACATCGCTAGTTTCTCAAGACTCAAAATTAATAACACATGATCCTTGCTGTTAAGAAGCTCACAGTCTTGTGAGGGGAAACCAATTTTTCTAAGATATAAT